TGGAGGGAAATCGTGTACTGATCTCCCTCCGTTCTCATTGCAGGGAGCCACACTGCCGGTCCCGGATGGACGCCCGGGGTCACGGGACCACAGGGGAGGTAAGGAGGGGGGTGGCCAGAAGGATGCAGTATAAAAGCGATCGGGCGTCTTTACAGACGCCGGACCGCTTGTATGTAAACGGCCATCGCTGGCCAGTTAAAATCGAGGCGGTTTCCCGCTCGTGCGTGCTCGAGCACGAAGGACGTCTTAAGACGCTCACCTATATCCAGAAGACTACCGTCTGGCATCGTTCGGCGGACGGGAGGTGGTTAAAGTGCAATGGGTGAGGTTTTTCAACAATAAGGCCAAATTAAGCTGCAGGTATTTGGGATATTGTTTATTAATGTCTGCTACGTAGGGCATATTTTCTACATATACTTTATCAATGGTTTAAACAGAAAACTAGGATGTCTTGTTCTGTTTGATTTTCTGTGATCCAACCAGAAATCTCATTTGTGCTGTAAACAAGGTTAGAATGAAAAGCTGTTTCATAAAATGCAATACAGTAAAATTCAACACAGTGTTAGACAATGGCTCTGAAGGACATTGGAAGCTACTGGGCAGTGTGTCTTTCCATACCACTAGCAGGATGTCTGCTAATATTTCTTCAGTTTTAATTACAAGGGCACAATAAATGAAGGAATATGGTATACTTTTAATAAACACCTTTTAAGCTGTTTAGAACACCTACATTGAAGAGCAACACAGTGTTTTTTTGTGTGACATTTTTCCACATTTTTGCCTATCCATCCATCAACATGTAAATGCAATGTACATGTAAATATAATGTACACTACTGTATACAGATAACGTAAACACACAGTGCTGTGTTATGTAACAGTTCGCGCACCCAGCCTAACAGGCACAGGAATAAAAAGACTCATTCCTCTGTCATTGTAGTAAAAACCTCTTTGGAATGCACCGTGAAACAGCACTGCCCATAATGCCCAACTGCCCATTTTTTTAGAACCATAATAGAAACGTGGGAGTTGTGACTGTTGACATCTCTGGAGAGTTATCCGTCTGGCAATCCAGTTCTATGGCTTTACTACTTTGATGCTGACCTTGAACAAGCACTCAGATTGGAACTATTAACTTCACTGGCTGTATCCTTGCTCCAAGTTAGTGAACCACTAACCTGAATTTAGCCGGGGAGCTAGTAACTTCTGAAGTCAGCACTGGCAGCTGCCATATTTCTTTCATGACATGTTCACATTAATCATAATTTTAGATGAAAAAAAACCACACAGAATGCATAGGACTACTTAGAAACCGTATATTTATAGAAAATATTTTGTATATAAAGAGCTTGAATAAATTATGGAACACTATGTACATATGTAAACCTTATATTACAAAAGAGCGCAAACTCTTTGGTATGACATCATGCGCACAGACAGATTTGTAAATGTCTCTATTGCACAAAACAAAAGCCATACAATTTATAGAAATCTAAACTAATCTATACAAGTACCTAAAATAATAAAGCTTGACAATTCTAAATATTTACTGTATACATATATTTATACCTCATAAATAGCATTTTTGCTTCTGTAAATACAAAACATAGCACACCTTATCAGGATTGTGCTTCCAAACATTAAAACAGAATAAAAACAATAAGCAAAAAAGTGAAAAGACAGTACAAACTGTTCAACGTAATAAAGCTTATTTGTTTCCCAGCGTAATAAGGATTTTTCAGCTGTCGTCTAGCAACCAAACAGTGCAAGCAATAAAAAGATGTGGTTTGACGTAGCACAACATAGGAATAATCAGTTACTTTGTTTTACATGAACTGGACCATTCGGAGTGAGTTCTTGCCCAAATGCATTGCAGATCCAGGTGTTTGTGCATAGCTGGAGCAGATGGTTAACAAACTTAGGGTGAAAAAGTAAAAGACAACACCCTCTTGCTAGTATGAAAATAAACAAAGCATAACAAGTTATGCTTTGGAGACCAGTCTGGAAAGCTAATTACGTTGGTGTCTTGTGGAATTAGCTTTTTGCCGCTGTTTTAGCTAAATGACTGACTAAAACATTACTTCAGGATCCCACATGTTTCTGAATTGTAGTAAGAAAATAATTAGTATTCTGATTCTAGAGTGTACTGAATATATAAGTAATCAACCCGAGGACAGATTTCAAAGCTAGAAGGTTCAAGAGAGTACAGTTGACTTAAGGTACAAAATGCAAATGCATTGGCATACATGGAGATGGTTCAAAGTTCGATAGCCATCTTCCTCTTCTAGCGTTTTAGAGGATCAGTTCACCCAAGGATGATATTTAAATGTTATACTGTCAGGCTGAATCATCCACTAGTATCTTTTTGGGAACTCCAGCAACTTTTCCATCCATGTGTGGTAGCCATTACAAGGAGGTCACTACTGGACTAACAATTTATTTTATATTACAAGGAAAGCAGCATGGGACCTGAAACTTCCTTGTTTGACCTCGGGGGCAGAGCAGGAAACTCCAACTGCAGTATAATTTATTACATGAACAGCTGCCAAAAATCTTAAATATCAGTTTTGGATTGACCTGGCCTTTAATCATTTATATCCAGATTGTTTTCACTCTTTTAGGACGAGAGGAAAATGTTTTATGTTATCTTTGTAATGTGACCACTGTGATCTCACAGCAATCAGATAGATCAGGTCTCCTTTGTAAAAACACACCAGCCTCTGTGCCGTATGTGGTCATGACAGACCCAATACAGTTGTACAATTAGTGTTGGGGCACATGCCTACAGATGCAGGTATTGTGTGCACAATTCATAATGTGTGCAAGTGCTTCACAAATTATACTGTATATTTTAATATTGGTGCTTAGGACAGGGCTAAACCTAAATCAAAGGAACAAGTATTAGTAATTTTGAGCTTCACATCTCAATCATGCCTACGTTTTGCCATACATGACGACTATATTTCTTTTTTACAATGCCATGATGTAGGGCTGGTGATATAGCGGTCTAGTTCATTCTTGTGTTTATGTTTAAGGGAACAGATATGGTGAAAAATTCATACAGAGCTGTATAAATGGATGTATCCCCTGAGTATATAGCTTCATTGGTACAAATTCACAGGAAATTCAGAAATTCAACCTAGAGATGAGGTCCATCTGCAACTATAAATGTTAATCAGGCAATATAAGTTGTGATATCAGAACAAAATTCAAGCCAATACGTTTAAATAACCTTGTTTCATAATCCAGCAAGTAAAATAAGCTGAACCATGACAACCCTTCATCTCTATTCCATTCTATTTTAGCTACAGAATAGAAGGAGGGTCTTTGCTGTATCTGTAGCCCTGTCCTCATGGACACCAAAGACAGATGTTAGGAAGGGGCAGAATGAAGCAAGTCATGCGCTACTTTAAATATTGGCCGATGCTCCAACAGCCACCTTTAATTGAAGGTTGAGCGGAAGGGTTCAGTTATACACTGAGATCATTGGCGTCTATGTAACTCGTCTTCCCTGCTAAGAAGGAAAATATATTAACATAGAAGAAAGGCCATTATGTGCATTAGTCCTAAGTTTTACAAAGGTCCAGCTCAATCTAAGCCAATAAAACACCTAATGGGTTCACGGCACCTGTTTTCACATTCATCAGGCTAAAAGGCAGAAATGTATAATAGACATTCATCTTGTGTTATAAGGAATGTTTTACGTCCTACCTGGAACAAATCTGAAATGTATGTTCTATTTTAAAGCACACACTAAACACTGGCCATACCAAATATATATATTGCTCTCTAACAGGATATCTATTTTACATACGAGTACAATAGGCAATAAGCTACAGAAAATACATAAATCTTCGGTTTCTAGGGAACTCCTTTGTCAGCTCTCATAGAAATAAATTCTTCTGTGAAAACCACTTGTAGCAGCATTATCAGGAGAAGAATATGACCTTGCCTCCAGAAAAGTATACAAAAAACTTTTTGGAGCTGAAATATTAAAGATACTTCTCTGGAGTATGCTAGATACTTGGAATAAAATATAATATTGGTTTTACAAAAAGGAAAAAAAAACAAAACAACGAAAAGTGTACCATTAGTGTACATTTACAGACCTAACAAAATCCAAAACATTGTAATGCATATATAAGCAGAACCCAAAAGCCTGGGACATTCAGTAAAAACTGTCTGAAAAGCTGTTGGTCAGAAGCAACAAGGCTACAGTGCTGTGTTATTGTTCTTTATCACAGTATGGTGTTACACCAATGTTCATTTACAGTGACTCCTTAGCAGTACTTGGAAAGGTAGGGGTGCTTGTAAAGAAGTTCTATTCATAAACATGTAATGATGATGTCAAACGATTTTACAATCCAGGACTTTGCCAATTCAAGATGATTCACTTTCAGAAGACATAAATTATCTCCTTTGGTGTTGAGAAATACAGTGCAAAAATATGGCCACAGCTTAAGGTTAAAAAAAAAGGTCAAGATCCAAACTTCATAGTTTTGAAGACTTGTCACTGCTGAAGCTGTTAAAGTTCTCTGCAGTTTTCTTTCGTAAATTTTCTATCCAGCTTGTGCTGCTCAGCATTGTTCTTGCTAAACTTGAAGAAGATTGGGGTACATTTAAACGCATATTTTTACCAGATGTAATAAGTTCACCATAGCCTTCTTGGTGAGCAAAAGCGTAACCTGATCTTCTAGAACTAGTTCTGTGTACCCGGCGCATGCGGTTTGCTAGGGGTTTCCGTTTCTTCTTAGCCTGCTGCAAATATCGAACCTTAAAGTAAAAAAACAAGACTGGTCAAATCTTTGTACCTTCAAAATGATACCACAGTGTGTAAGACTATCCCAAATTAAGCTTTTAACAACAATTTTAAAACATCCCATGGTCTCAGAGTTTTCGAGATAGAGATGATATCACCAGACCTGGAAGAAGGGGCTAGATACAGGCAATTATACCTTTGTGAAAGCTATTGAATTTATATAAATGAAGGCAGTTTGTTCAAACCAGGAGAGGTTTACTGAACAGAGTGCAGCTAAAGGACGGGGTCGGAGAGTGAAATTATGGTATAAAAGATTACATTTATTTGGTTTACGAAATAAAACAATATTCATATGAACAGACTGCACAATTCAAAAAACCACTATCCCCACACCCTTAAAAAATGATCATTGCAATAATCCATTCGTACAAATCAACACTCGCACACAAGCGGAGCCAGCTGATCAATATACTCTAAATCTTCAGGTGGCCCTCAATTTTGAGGGAGCAGCGTAGGACTAAAGTGAAGGAGTGCAATATAGTATATGTAGAATGCCTGGGAATTTCCTGTCAAACTTTCTTAATGTGTTTCTCTTTTTCCGTGGAGTGTCTTAAAGATATCAATTAGTTGAGATAAAGTCAATATGAACGTTTGACTTGGATCCTATGGACACCTTCTATGGATACAATAAGTGTCGCTACAATGGATACTTAGTTGATGATATCTTGCTTTGTAGCAAAAGAGCATGAGGATAGGCCCGAATTGAATTTATACCCTGAACTTATTAGCTCTGAATGGACTAAATGAGAGCCTTGAAATAGAATCTTCTCTCACTTGGTCAAGTTCTCTATGTTCTCCCTTTTCTTTTTTTTCCCTAAACTACAACACGCATCTAATTCTATCATAGTGGGAAACCACAAATTATTCCATTATAATAGGAAATAATACGTTATTGCATGTCCTTCCCTTCTGTTTAGCATAAAGCTCCCCCATCCATGGATGAGATCTTAGTTCCCTTCAAGGTCTCGCCATGTAGCAGTTTCAAGTCATGTCTGTCACAGTAGATTTTGATATAGGTGTTCTTCATTTATTATTACATCATATTATCATGTTCTTATTAATATATATTTGTATTATGTTTTTATTAATTTATATCAATAATTATATATGTATGTATATATATCTATATCAATATAGATATATATATATAGATATATATACACACAGTCCCACACACACTGCGATATTTCCAATCAATATCTGAAGGTCAATTCTAAAAAAAACTTACCAAAAAATGATTCAATCTACCATTGTCTGTCATTGCCATATTTATAACACCTGCCTCTCCTTCATTTTTTCTTACTAGTCAACCTGGGTTTACCATGATAAGAGAAGTAAGACTAATGGCCATCATATTCCATTCTATTCTGTCCAGTTAATCCAGATCCCCTGTACTTTGATATACATCTAATTGCGCTCCTGCCGAAAAGCCCAGTACAGTCCATAAAGAATTACATATCTCCAAGGTGACGGGACGCACGGCGTGTAGTCCCAAAACAATTGCCCACTACCGCACTCGTGTGAAGAGTCACACTTCTCCCTGACACAGGACAACTGATCTAAAATCCCAGCCCATTTCCCCATTTGTGCGGATTGGAGACGCCGCCACACATCCAGTGAATCAGAGAGCATTACAGTGGGCCCCTGACGGCACCGCCATCCACAAACATCTCAGAATTTCTCTCAAGGTAAATTATACCAAGAGGTGCACAGCATGTGTTTTACGTGCAGCCATGCTGGATCATTATGAAAGGGCGGGTCTCTAATATCAGTGTGTGAGCATGTATAAGCTATACAGTTGGTTCTGAGGAAGATGGTTTGACTATTGAAATGCGTTAACCCCAACCTATCCATTGCATGTGTTAATGCTCTGTTGTCCAGTTGGCTTAGTGGCATATGCTTCCTACATATGCATGAACCTACAAGCTTTTATTTACGGACTCTTGTGAGTATAACATTTAAACGATGAGGGGGTGCTGTTCTTGTTTTCTTTTTTTGAATGTGCTTTGAGGTATCCCAACCTACAGCCCCCTTCTATGAAAATATATGGAATCTTCCTCTGGGTCCCTTGGAGAGTGAGGAATTTCTACGAAAGCGCTGAACAGTTTGGATAATAAGCAATTTTACTTTATACTTAGGCAGTTTTACATTTTGCTATTTGTTACATTATATTACTAATTTTGTTATTATATTACATTTTGTTATTTGTTTACATGTAAAAGAGAATAATATGACACCATATAATAATATGGCAGGGTCCTATTGAGGTTTATCCTATTTATAGTGTATAGGTTGCTAGGTCATGTAGTATAATTCCACCCAGTCAAGCATCATTCTTATCATTGTGACTGGAATATTAGTATAAAGATGAATAGCCTTGCTGAGCCTGATGAAGGGGACCCTGCGTGGCCCAGAAAGTGCTAGTTTTGGTGACATTCCAATAAACTAAATCTTTGGACTGCCATACTGGTGGTGTGCTGGTGACATTTATTCATCTTTATACTGTTTGGCGGCGCCATCCGCAGGTCACTACAAGCACTGCCCTCATTCAACTTTGGGTTTTTCTGGTAAGGAGTGCGACACGGTATCTTTTTGTATGGAATATTAGTATATCATCAAATATATTGTTAACTTTCCTAGAGTGTTTCTAGGTTGTCAGCTGATAGTAATGTAACAATTTTTGATTTAACACATTTCAATGTAACAAAATGAATTAACACAAACTTCCTGGAGTATCACTATATCACCATCAAACCCCCCCCCTCCCCCGCAGCCAGGAAGAAGAGCCACCAGTGAAAGAAACAGACACATTTGCTGCATTAAATGACATTGTGACATGAAATGTTTAGCAGTTCATAATAGCACAGGGTGTTACTAATATTTCTAAAACAGAAGCAAATAGGAGTCTGAAATAAAATTTGGTAGCACGCTTATGATTTATTTATAGAGGCAGAGTTTAATATCAAGACAGAGAGTGAAACAGCAAAAAACATATAACAATCTATGCAAACGACTCTTACAGAGTGCTTGCATCAAATTCATCTATATGTTAGAAACAAGTACATGAATTTGTCGCACAGGCTGGCGCAGCGGCCTAGGAGTTTTGCTGTTAGGTGGGTGGAGCCTGATTCTGCGCTGAAAACAACAAGGAAGGTGGACCTGAAGGTGGACCGGATGGAGAACTAATCTCTCAGCTTCCCCATCAGGCCCTGTTTACTGTCAATCCAGTTGCTGGGCAACCAATGACACATCCCTGGTCCCATTCAGCTGCCAGCAAGGAGATTCTGCAGAAAACAGCCGAATGTAAACAAAGTTGGATGCTGGCATCAGCAGGCATTCCCAGCTCCTTTGTTTACATTTAGCTGCCGGCCAGTAAATCTCCAGGCCAGCAGTTGAAGGGGACCAGAAATGCGCCAGAGGACTCCCAGTGCAAAAACATGCCCTACTCTTTACCACACAGCAGCCCCACCATGTTAAAAGCAGGGCATGTTTGTGTACCTATCTCTGTATATCAACTTAAAACTGGTTTTAATAAACTTCAGTTTTGTTGATAATTTTTTCAGCCAAAGCAACACATTGTGAAAGTGGCACAAATGAGAACTACCTGAATCTACTGCATGTGTCAGCACTCTTAATTCAATTGTCACAAGGCTTTTATGAATTAGGTGCAAGACTTTTTAAAAGGGAGCACACTGTAAGAAAAGTGTCACAATCACCTGCAATGTCATTAGTAAGAGATCTGCTGTTGATACCACTAATACTCGATTGCCTTTCAGCTGGGACCTCATGTATAAAAGTATCACTGTACTAAACCCCAGCTGTCATAGTGCCCTTGTTGTGGATCATTCAGTGTGCCACTATTTTGGGATCTCCTATTGTCAATGTGCTATTGCTCTAGGACACCATTTCTCAACTGTTCTCTGAAGGCCACTGATAATTCAGGTTTTCCAGGTTAAGAACGATTCTGGAATGCATACATCAGAAAGGAATCCCAAACATTACTTTTATGGTATTGATGGGGCCCTGATGCTTGAGTAGTACAACTGTGGCCAGTTTAAATAAATTCTGCTTCTGCTCAAACACTAGAAATACTAACTTATTCTGATAGCAGTTCATCTGCAATTCACCGCAGCAAAATCAAACTGGCATTCACAATGCATGTGTAAATGCAACCACTGGAGATCTTTTCTATTATAAGTACAGTCTGCAAAATAAATCATCAGATTTTTGTCGACCACATTACCTTATCACTTAGTGTAGGACTCAGATCCACTTTCAAGAAGCGGTAAGTCAACACAGGCACGACACAAATCACAGTGGTCAGGAATATCACAAGCCAAACGCTTTTCTGACTTAAGGAATTTCTGGCATTTCCTGTTGATAAAATAAAAAGTAACAATTGATTTAAGTCAACAACGAAACAAATGCAAATGTCCATTTTGTGTGCATTAAAAAAAGTGTTTTGCAGCATATTTTTACTTGATACACCTTGTTTCCAGTTATTTGTAAAGACATTTAGTGACCAATTTATAAACAATACTTGTTCATTAAATTTTATATATTTTTTTATCAATCCATGTCATTTATTTTTATTTTCATATTTAACTATTTACCAGGAAGGTCTATCATGGTTTAGCTGCTGCCAATTTACTTGGTCTGAAGCCTATTTATTACCAGCTAACAAAGTATTTTTCCATCTAGCTGGGGAAAAAAATGGCTTCCAAAAATCTATAGGGTAAATATTTGCTTTATATCATTGTTTTAAATGTGGCCACAAGTAAGATTCCTCCTATTGGAAGATAATAAAATATTTTCACATGACAAGGCATAATGATTTCATACTGTGCATATAATTAAAATACTATTTAAAGAATATGATTGACAACAGTTAGTTAAGAATAAAATAATATCCTGCTTCTAAATAGACTATGTTAATTAAACGTTTTTTGGTAAACTTGCAGAGACGTACACTTCTAACTACATAAAACTTTTTCAGCCTTACAAGTAACAACAATCTGTATGTCAAAAGCAAAAATAACAAAATCCTTCTTTTTGTTGACACGGGAATGGACATGGAAGCAAGAAAAAAAGGTCACAAACAGGGGACGGGCATAATCTATCAACAGCTTGTAATGATTCTGAAGAAGTCTGTACTAATGCACAATTACGATGTTATTATAGGCATGCATACATTAAAACCGTTCACACATTCAAACTTTTTGTGAAATCATTGCAAACACCTGCCTGATTTCACAATTTTTCATTCATTTATCAGTGTAACTATGTTACTATTTGCTATACAGTTATTTTGGAAAGTGCATGCTGTTTGCATGTAAATATTAATATAAAGATAACTTAAAAATAGTAGAAACAAAAGCTACACTTACCTACAAATGGAAAATGACTGGGGAAAATATCAAAGATCCCATCTCCGTGCATGGCAAATAGGATAGAAAAGTACACAGCGAGGCTACCCCAGATATAGAAATGGTTAATAGCAGTCCAGTAGCTGGTGTCCAGACCAATCTGCAACACAGAGATTCTCATTAATCATTTTTGCTATACCTAATGCAAATTTATAACAGCAATTAAATCAAAGCTGTCAAGGTACCAACATGCCTGTGAAAGGAGTTGTGTTATTACCAGAAATTTCACCTATTAATATGAAATGTCCTGGTAAATTTTATTTGAAGCTACCCTTCAGGCTGCCTCTCCTTTCTCACACACACACACCTCACTGGCATAATAAAGAAAGAAATCCCTACCTAAATGCCCCTTTTAGTTGCCTGGACCAGTGGTCATGTCACATCCCTGTCTCAAATGTTATCTTTTCTTTGGTGCAGGATGAATACTAGGGATCACAGGTCCAGGAAATACAGTATATGGGGTTGATTTTTGACACATCACCTCATACACTGAACACCCATATGACCTATTTTTTGAAGATATATACAATCACTGATACATTGTGTTTCTATTGAACTACATACACCCTATATAGAGTAGATACATCCTACATGATCAATGATCTTACAATAGTAAGATAGATACACACAATTAGCTATCACTTTAACTATGTAACTATATATATATATGTATATGTACATGCACATATATAGATACATAGAAATGTCACTTAGTAATGGAAGTCCCATTTTTTACTTTCCATTTCTTTTTCTCAATTTGTTTCTTTTCATCTTTTTTCTTTTCACCTCAAACACTGGGCACCTTTTTGTGAGTTGTATTATGGATAATTTGAATGTGGGTTGATCACATGGCATGGAACCGTGGCACTTGGGCAGGCCCATTACTTCCATCCCTTGTTTGGGAATTCATCACCATTTCACAAAAGCAAACCCTCTCAAAATCCCTTAACTAAACCCCCTTCTTTCCCCTTCCCCCCCTACCTTTCCCTTCCCCCCCTTCCCACTTTCCTAGAGGAACTCTACTTTCCCAACGTACGGACTTTCCGTCGCCACGTTTACTCCACATGTGTACACATGGAATAGGAATCGGGACAAACATTTCCCACACCCAGTTTTACTGCCAGTGGGAATCCCTAAGAACAAACACTAAGAAACTAAAAACAAATCTAATCCAAGCAACATGGATCATATAGATAAAATGTAGAGAAGGACTGATGGCTGACATCGAGAATACAGTTCATACCCGACCAGATCCCATGGAATAGAGGGACTAAAAATACAGTGTTTTCCAACATCTCACTTTAGAATAAACTACTCCTGGTGACTGTGGCTGGATGATTTGGTGCCGTGTGTCTCTCTTTCCCTATATGACCCCGGGGTCCCAGGCGTGACAAACCAGGGAGGCTGTGGAGCTAACGGTGGGGTCACCCGCCGCTCGCCCCCCATTTTGGCTTTCCGGGTACTTCTCCTGCATATCGCAAATCAGCCCTGCATGGTGAGTAGTGGAGACTTAGATGTCCTCAAAATAACTACATATGATACATCTGCTCCAGATGGGGCTATATATGGAAATATGACATTGTATGAATCACAGATGTAGATATATGAATTGAGGAATGTTGGTCTAAATGAAGACAATTTTCTTAATAATAGGTCCATCTTCAGTGGGTCCCCTGATGAAGCCAATGGCGAAACGCGTCGGGGCCTATTAAGATAAGCTACGCCTAGGACAATATTTTGTTATACACGAATGTAACCATACTTGGACAATATTGAATAACTTCATGATATGTCGGACTAAATGAATTTTAGTAACATACAAGCTATGTATATTTAAACATATCCTCTGCAGGGATCTGTTTTGTTCTATTATGTTTGTTTTAAATCATGAATGTATGTATAATAGTATTTAACATAATACATTTTGAAATTATATTTTAACATATCTCTCTTGGACGGTCATTTACACCCCTCCAAAAACCCTTCTATTTCCTCTATTTGTCTTGAAACTATATAATTAGGGGGAGAGGTGTAAAACTAGGTGCCCACAGGGAGACAACCCAGGATTTAGTATTTTCTTTGGTGCAGGGTCTTTCCTCAGGTTATCCCACCACTGCCGGCACGACGTGGTCAGTTCCTATTGGCTGCCCAGCGGCAGTGTCCTCCCAGAATCCAGAAAACAGACTTCAGTTGTCAGTGTAAGGGGAATTGCAAGGGCCAACGGGCACATGCACAGCGCTGGATTACTGGTCATCCGCGCCAGTGGTGAACATTGATGATGGGCTTAGGCAAGTACAAAAATCTTCTCTATTAGATATTTCATTAAACAAATGCTGTTGTGGAAACTGGAAGTACTGCACACGAAAAAAAAACTGCACCAAAGTACACAGGAGTATTATATGCTGTCCCTTTGCCCCTGCCCCCATCGCACTTGGAATTTGCTGCTGTCAAAAATAAACCCTCTGACACAATGTTTATAGATACTGTTCAAACAGAGATGGAGAGATGGAGAGATACAAGGTAACATTGATACTTTTGTATTCACTCTGTTTCATTCATCTGCAGGCCAAAGAGATGAGCTTTCATCTACATATTGTATCAGTTACAGGAACCTAAAGAAAATAATCACCCGGGCACCATATTCCAATGCATCAATACATCTTTATTTGACGTCAGACACACAAGGCATTACGTATAGAAGCAACGTTTCGGAACCTCAAATGGTCCCTTCATCAGGCAAAAAAACTGACAGCCATAGTGCAAATAGTGATTACTTATATACAGTGACAAACTATCAAAACCAATCACCTCCCCCTTTCTGACATCACTATGATGTAATATTCCCACCAAAAACATCAGAATAAGCATGCATAATAATAATAAGGGAACACAGGAATAACAACATGAGATTAGTATTCCTGTGTCCCTTTATCATTATGCATGCTACTAAGTTCCTTTAAAACAAACACTGATCAAAGTAGAAAAGGAGTGCTTTTTTT